TCATAGTAACAGGTAACTGGTGAAGGAGGAGAGGAGCCTGCCAGCTGTATTCATTGGACAATGTGACTGGTGATACCTGGGGGGGGGGAGGGTATTCTTTTAATTAGGTGAAAACCGCAGGAATCTTTACAGTTGGTTTTCACCAGCTATGCCAATATGATGTATCCAATAAACATGTTCTTTGAGGAATCTACCTGCCTTGGAGTTATGCTTTTGTTGGTTGCATTACTCAGAATGCTGACACTATATACTGAATATTATAAGGGACCTCTGCAAACAGCAGCATTGTGCTGCTAGTAATTTATGTAGCATCTAAAGTACTGTTCCAGAACCAAGTTGGTTTGTTCATAAGCACCGTTAGTTACAGGGTGGTGGAAGACCTTAATCCCTAGCCAGAGCCTAACAGTTTAAGGAATTCTCGCCAACCCTCTCTTGCTTCATCTCTTGTTCAGTTTCTCCTCCCTGAATGCTGACACTATCACTGAGTTACCATCACTAAGTGGATCATCATCACTAAGTGGATCATTCCACAAATTTACATCAATTTTGTTCCAATTTCGCTATGCAAAGCTTGCAGACATTGAAAGCACTATTCTTTTGCTCCCATCACTAAAATGAGCCTGGCTCATAGTCCATAAACCTGAGCTTTCTAGCCTTTGGTTGCCCCTTTCTTCTAATTGTTTTTGGAATATGCACCCACGCATTACTTCGAAACACCCTTAAATGTGCTAGAGTTGGTTTTCTGCCATATAGCACTGCATATGGAGTATCATTAATGGAGGAACTCCACAACCTATAAACTAAATAATTAGCAGTCAATATGGCTTCACCCTAATATGACCTGCTTAAACTGGAATCCTCTAGCAGCAGGGGTGGGTTTCTACTGGTTCTGTCCGGTCCTATAGAACCAGATGTTATGATTCTGCGCAGTTGCCCACACAAACAGCTGAGGGACGGCGAGGTGGGGAGCTGGTCCTGGAAGCCCCAATGCCACCAGAATTGCTGCCATTGCATTCCTTGGGCACCATTATCACCATTCCTGTCTCTCTGCTGCTTCATCCCCCCCACCTGGGCTCAACAACTTGCCTTTCCTCCCGCTGCCATGCCCACCCCAGTCACATGACCACCAAGCCACACCCACAAATTAGGCCATACCCACAGAACCAGTTGTTAAGAAATTTGAATCCCACCCCGTCTAGCAGTAAGTCCTTCATGGTTTGCAAGACTCCATTCCGTCTCTCAGCAACACCATTCTCAGCTGCTGTGTAAGGATTTGTGCATCTGTGTTTATTCCTAATTAGGCCAACCATTGTTGAAAACTTGTTGACATGAATTCTGAGCCTCTGTCAGTTTGCAGCTGACATAACTGTTGTTTATACCTTCTTTCTACAAAGCTTACCCATTGCTTAAATTTCTGTAGCACCCGTTTTACTCTTTAGTAAATAGCAGAACCCAAACCTGCTATAGTAATCTACAATGACCAGCGCATACTTAGCTCCTCCCAAACTGGCTTGCATTGGGCCCACCAAATCTGCCTTGTGCTACTCTTGCTTACTAGGAATGCCTTGGACTTTGATATTTTGCATATTGCACAATCCAAATATGTCTTACATCCCTGTACATGCAATCCTTCTGCATACTGGTCCATCTTCTGAACAACTTTAAAACTAGCATGACCAAGCTTTCTGTGCAAAAGATGAACACATGAATCATGTTTTGCAACATTGTCAAATGTTTGTGCACATTGAACTTTTGTCCCTGTAACATATCATGCTTTATGCCCTTTGCACAGACAATTCCATTTTTCTTTATAAGAAAAGCAGTCAATATGGCTTCACCTTAATATGACCTGCTTAGACCATTTACAAATGTGTGCCCATTTACAAATGTGGTCTCAAATCCTTGCTTGTCTAAACTAGAGAGACTCAGCAAATTATGCTCCATTTCTGGCACACATAAAACATTAAACCTTGTTTCCAAATATGAAATTTACACACTGCCTCTTCCAATGACTTTAACCTTCTTGCCATTTGCCAAGGCTACTGTGTCTCCTGCAGCTGCATCCATCCTGTAAAACAATTTAGCATTATTAACAATCATTTGGCTAGCCCCACTGTCAAAAAGCCATTGATTTCTTCCATTATTGCTGGCTTTTGCAACAGCAATTTGTCCATTAACTTATGTTTCTTGCAGCAAACAGTCTGTCTTTAAATGAGATTGTCTCTGTTGTTGGGCTGTAATCTGGTATCCTCTAGTGCTCTTCTGCTGGTCTCGGGAAACTCCAAGGTGCTTACTTCTGTGCTGCTCTCTGCAGACAGCCTGGCTGTGGAAATTTCCATTGCTCCTCTTGGGCCCCCCTCCTCAGGAATTTTTCCTCCTCCAGGCCTTTTCTATAATGGTATTTCTACTTTTCAGCTATCAGACATGCTTTCAGAGCGTCCAAACTCAATTCCTACTCTGGTTTGCATTCAAACACTGCAGACACAATGTCCCAAGGTTCATCTAGGCTGTTCAAAACTAGTAGTACTTTTTGAGATTCCGGAATCCTCATCTCACGTTGGTCTAATTCCACAAACAAAGTTTGCATATGAACAAAATGCTGCTCCACTGAATCCCCTGGCTGCAAAACAGTTCTATATAACTTTCTTGATAATTGTATGATGTTGCATGCAGATACCCTCACATGAACAGTCCTCAGTTTATCCCAAACTTCCTTTGCAGTCTTTAAATCAACTACACTGATAAACTGATCATCTTCTAAATTTAAGATGATATAAGCAAATGCTCTATCATGCAGCTTCTGATCTACAGCATTCAATGGTGCCTGGAGTAGATTTTCAACAATATTCCAAAGCTCTTTAGCCTTCAGGAATCATTCCATCTTTGCAGCACAGCTAATATAGTTCTTCTGACCCAAACGGGGTAGAGAATTCTCTTTAATTTTTTCATCCATCCTGCAAAGCCTCTTGCCTTGTTTCTTACTTTTAAAACAGGCACTCTCTCAGCTTTAATTACAATTCAGTCTTTCATCTGTGCACATAACCTGTTCAGAGTTTTTCAGCATTAATTCAGTGCCAGAAAAATAAACACAGATGGATGATGCTTCATTTAATGTCTTTATAAACATAATAAGTAAATTTTACAAACCAGTTGTAGATTTCTCCAACATGGAGCAAACTCAAACAGAAACATGTTGCAAGTAACTCAACTTCAGTAGCCACTAGCAAAACAGAGAGAGAACTTCCAGTTTCACTTACCAGGTCAGTTCCCATTGGCTGGTCTGTTACCATGCCTACTCATTGACTCTGTTAACTATGTCTCTACCAGTAAATGAATACTCTGACATGCCTTCAGTCCTTGCATTAGCACATTTTTTCTCAAATATCAACTTTTCCTTCCCTAGCTTTGAAATAATCTTTTCCAATAAATATTCTGTATTTTATTTGAGGATGAGGAAGGAGCATATCTGAATTCTTCCATTTCAATGTTTTCAGATGTATTCTTGCTTCAGCACACCCTTTTTCCTCATTGCATGTTAACATAAGTTCCATTGTACAAAACTTAGCAAACTGCATAATCAGAGCAAAGCCTGTTTCCTTTCTGGGGCTATTTCTCCCCTTATGTCTTTCCATGTGTTTTCTTTTTTCACATTGTGTTTAACTTGAGAGATGCCCAAATGGTTTGTAGGAAGAAACCATTTCAGAGAGACTAGGCAAAACCAGACTCATCCCATTCATATTGCAGTGCCATGATTAGTGTATGATTTTCCTCCTTGCTATATAATGACATATAACCAGTGGCATAGTCATAAATCAAGATAATACCATAGCATTTGACAGTGGCTTAGAACAGATGCCTTTGAGGCAGGATAGGGATTGGGGCAGCATATTTTATGTTATGTTATGCCTATGTGTGTGTGTGTGTGTGTGTGTGTGTATGTATGTATGTATGTATGTACATATACATATATATATTCATACACACACACACACACACACACACACACACACACACACACACTGTCATGACGAGACGGAGTCCTGGCCGATATGGGAGGATGGCATGGCTTCTCTGACCCGGAGCAACTGGGAGTGGGGCAGGACTCAGATTCCCAGATTCCCTAGGCCTTGGAGGGGTGGCCAATGACAAAGAGAGGGCACAGGATGACCAGGCAAGGGTGTTAATCCTGAAATTGACCTGGGTGAAGCCATCTTGGACCTTCAGTGCTGCCACACTGGAGCGAGAGATAGGGAGTGGGGATTAGAAATGGCCAGGCTTGTGTTGTCAAAATAAAATACTTTCTCTTGGGAACCAAAGATGTTCTCACACCTGGTCGAATGAAGTAGTCACTTAGACCAGCAGATGCTGCAGTGATTGGGCCATGTAACATTGTTTGGAGTTGCGGGAAAAACTTTTACTTTTAGGTGAAAACCAAGGGGCCCTTCAGAGTTGGTTTTCACCAGATAAGTGCCAATATGATATTTCCAATAAAGCTGTTCTTTGTGGAATTCACCTGCCTTAGAGTTCTTGCTTGCCATGGATCTATTACTTGGAACCCTGACATTAAACCAACTCTCACTTAAACCATAAGGAAACTTTCTGCTCTATCCAGAGCCACTATTGGGGGTCCTGAACCCCATCTGCTTACCCAGGCTATCAGGCAGTGGGAAGATTTAGAGAAGATGGAGAAGATGGAGGAGTTGACAGCCACTGATGGGGCTTGCAAAGGAATTGCTGAAAGCCTACAATACCCATCCTCACCCGAACAGGTGGCGGCAGCAGCAGCAGAGGCTGAGTGCCAGCTGAGTGCCACACCAAAAACTCACGCCAAGTGATTGGCCACCCAGGAGCTTTACTGGGTGGAGGAAAGTACCAGCTATTGGTCTGCACTCCAGGAGCCAGTGAAAAAATGCATGGTTGTTCTGATGAGAGAGGAGAGGACTGTGATTCTTGAGTGGAGGTCAACAGGACCCCTAGACTTCAGTGATTCTGGGGAGTGGATGTACCAGACTGCAACATGCAGCAATGCCCTGGAGGGGCTGCCAGAGAAGCTCAGCCAACTTAGCATCGGCAGCATTGGGTGGCATCAAACATCCAGCCAAGCAGTGGTGCTCTCAGCCAACTTTCATGTTTCCTGCCCAGAGATCTACTCAGGGAGTAGCACTAGCGAAGCCCAGCATGGAACTAAGTCTCTTCAGGAGGGCCCGAGCTACTTCATTGACAGCCTGGCCAGTCAGCCTGCCACCGCCTCCATCAGCTTGGTTGCATCCTGGCCCACAATGGAGCCCACCCAGGCATCAAAGACCTGCCAGCCAGATAGGGCAGCCCCATTTATCGCCAGCATGGCAGGTGCTGCCTAGATGGGCATACTACCCAGGGCAAGGCTGAGTCCTACTACAGTGAATGCCTGCTTCTTCTTCTGCTTCTGCTCCCACTCGAGTGCCCCAGCTGCCTCCACCACCTGCATGGCCAGCAGACCCACCCCACTTCAGGGCTGCATTTGATGGTAGTCCAGACAAGTTGGCCTTCTACCTGAACTGGTTTGGACCCACATTGTCCATTACAGAGATGTGTCAGGATTCCAGCAATCGTTCTAATTTAATCATGATTCTTGAGCCAAACTTCAAAAAACTGCAAAAGATTTATTGGAGGTGACATACTGGCACTGCCCTCTATGAAGCCAACTCTGGCATATGTAATTTACAGTCACCTGTGATCCTGTTTCCCCCACTCCCCCCGGGTGTCTCATAAACCAGATTCTCCAATTGAGCACGTTCATAGGCTGGGTGTCATAATTCATATTATCCAATTAAATATATTCATGAGCAAAAACTCTGGTATTTTAGTTAAAATCTTTTAAAGATAAGAGTTGGAATGTACTTTCACTTTCTTTGTTTTCTTTTCTTTTTTTGGAATATTTCATTCTTTTTTTAAAAAAACTAATATACTTTATTTATCTGTTTTCAACTGTGGGCATGTTTTACAGAATAAAAGAAAATGATCCATTGTGTGGCATTGTGTGATGACCCATAATATATCAGAAATATAACAAAACCCAAAACGTAACTAAAAGTCCTTTAATTCCTGCAACTTGGCTTCACTATTTAATTGTTCACAGTGGAGGAGTAAACTATTTTCAAAATAACATTTCAAAGGAAAGAAACACAGTTCAAATGCACAGAGCTGATAACGAAGCAAAAACCAAAAACAAACCGTATTGAATAAAGTTCCACGACAGACCAGGATAGATAATTGCCAACTTCAGGAAGATAACCAGGGACAATCCGTTGGAAGAATGCCAACCAAGATAAACCTTCTTTAGGAATAAAACACAAATTTGTCTCCAGCGTCATGGACCAAATGAGGAGCATGAACATCAGTGGCATTGACCCAGGTGAAGTCCTCTGGTCCATAACCTTTCCATGCCAACAAATACTGAAATCAGCCTCACAACTGGCATGAATCTCGGATGCTATCCACTTCGTACTCTGCCTTTCCCTGACTACCAGGCCCGGTAGTGGTGGAGCAGATCTATGCATGCTGTCAGCTGATACAGGGACTAACAGGGAGCAAAGATGTCAAAGATGGTGAGGATGGCAAGGATGGTGAAGATGGCGGGCCTAGGGACTTTGAAACCCAACCTACAGACCCCCTGTAGGCCGAGTGATACTTGTTTCCCGCCACCACTGATGTCGCAGAATTCTTAACAGGACACTTGGCCACAAAATGGCCTTGATTACCACAATAGAGGCATAACCCATCACAACGATGCCTATCCTTTTCTACTTGGGTCAGGTGAGGGCGGGCAGCCCCCAACTGCATGGGCTCTTCCAAAGGCACTTCCACCAGGGGTGCCGTCTTGCTGGGAACAGATGCAGTCTCTGTCCATCATTGCAGCTATCACTGCTGAAGCCTAGCATCAATATGAAGACACAGATACATGAGCTCCTGAAGGGTACAAGGGCATTCAGTGTGTGCCAACTCATCCAGGAGCTTCAACGACAAACCCTCCTGGAACTGGTCTAACAGTGCTGCCTCATTCCATTGTACATCTTAGGCAACCACCCGAAAGCTAGCAATATAATCCATGAACAAGCCATGCCCCTGCTTCAACTCTTTCAAACATCTGCTGTCTGGCTCCGAACAGGGTCCTCAAACATGGCCTGGAACTGATGGCAAAATTCGGCATAATTGTCCAACACCTGGTTTGGCTGGGTCAATAGAAGCGTCGCCCAACGTGCTGCAGAGCCTGACAACAAACTAATCAAAAACCCCACCTTATCTTGGTCAGTGGAGAAGTCCTCTGGCCGAAGGCTCATATAAAGCTGGCACTGCCCAAAAAGTGCTGGAAATTGGGCCAGCGATCCATCAAATTTATCTGGCACTGCTACTCGCATTTATGGCATGGCCAGACAGCTTGCATTTGTGCAACCTGTGCAGTCAAAAGAGCCACTTGCTGGCTTAACTGGGCATTGTCTGCTCTGAGCTGATCCATGGTCACCCCCACAAAAAGCAGAAACACGTTGAAGGGGTGGCTGGAGACAAAATGTGATGACCCAGAGTATATCAGAAATATAACAAAACCAAAAAGGTAACTAAAAGTTCTTTAATGCCTGCAACTTGGCTTCACTGTTTAATTGTTTACAGTGGAGGAGTAAATTCTGTTGGAATTTTCTCATTTTTCCAATTTTGTGCAAATACAATTCTAGCTGCTGTTAATACATTGATAATCAAATATGTTATCTCTCTGTTATAACCTTCAGGCAAAATTCCCAATAAAAAAAAATCTCTGGTTTTAAATCTATATGTTGTTTTATCATTTCTTCCAACCACATGTGTATTCTGATCCAATATTTTTTTAGCATCAATGCATGTTCACTACATATGGTAATATGATCCAGGTGTCTGATGACATTTCCAACATTTCGCCGATTTGTCTTTGAACATCTTGGCTATTCTCACTGGGGGTAAATGCCACCTGTAAAACATTTTCTCCTTGTAGGCCATTGACATAGTTTACTTATAATTCCTAGTCCATAGTGTCTGCCATTTATCCAAATCTATCCCATATCTAAAATTTCCCCCCAATGCAATCATTGTTTCTTTAACTTGCTCTTCCTCTAAGTTCACTCCTAATAGATAACCATATAGTTTTTGTTATGTCTGTGGAACTGGTTGGGGTCCCCAACCAGGTCCGCTGTTTGAGCGGGAGCACCAGCAGCTCCCATTGGTTGGCTCCGTTTGACAGTTGGCTATATAAGCCGGCTGTCGAGCAGAGCCAGCCGTTGTCGCCCGCTGGTCTGCAAGTTAGCAAGCAGAGGCGACAACCCTTTATTCTTTGCAATAAAGCCTGTTAGTTGTACGCTCTGGTCTCATGCCTCTTCCTTACCATCGCTCTACAACACTGGCGACGAGGAAGGGATGGTCGAAGGCTAACCAGACGCGTTTATTCAAAGAGCTGTAAATCACGGAGAGTGAAGCCACGGGCGCTGTAGCCGCAGCCGCCCCACGCTCGCAAAGAGCGCGAAATTCAAACTGATATTGTTTGAGCTGATTCGCTGAAACGAGCCACAGGCGCCGCAGCCGAGGCCGCCCACGCTCACCAAGAGCACGATTTTCAAAAAGAGCTACGCAGCCCAGAGAGACAGCCGCAGCCGCGTTCTTTTAAGAGTGCAAATTCAAATAGCGATTGAAGAAGACGAACCTGTTCTTTTCTCCACAATGAGTACTAATTCAGCATTCCCTCCATTCAAACCAAACGAGGAAACATGGGACTCCTACAAAAATCGATTCAGCCATTTTCTTGACGCCATCGGTTTAGCCGACGCTCCGGAGCATAGGAAGAAGTCCTATTTCCTGAGTTACTGCAGAGCCGCCGTCTTCGACACCGCTACAGTGTTAGTCGCACCCCGCGCCATCAGAAGCATCCCATGGGACGAGCTACAGGAAATACTTTCAAATCACTATTCGCCCAAACCATCCCAAATAGCCAGAAGGTATGCCTTCAGGGTCAGGAAACAGGCAGAGGGGGAGTCGATCAACGAATACATGGCCGCCCTGAGAACAGCCGCTTTACAGTGCGGATTCAAAGAATATTTGGAAGACATGCTGTTGGACCAGATCGTCTGTGGGGTGAGAGACCTAAGACTCCAGAGGCGTTTACTGGCAAAAAAGGACTTGACTCTAGCCTTAGCCATGGAGGAAGCCCTGGCTGCTGAGCTCTCGGCCCAGTCAGCAGCTGAAATTCAGGGCACTCAATCTAAACCCAGCACGCCAACTGTCCATTCTGAAGAAGTAATCAGCGAAGATGACCCCACAGACGCATCTGACATTAACCGCCTTAAACATCAGAAGCCTTCACAGGTAGGAGCGGGGCAAAGAAACAGCTTCACCCCCAAACAACCTCCCATGTGCCTAACCTGTGGAGGCTCCCACCCTAGGGCATCCTGCAGGTTCAGAAACGCCATCTGCCTGAACTGCCAAAAGAAGGGTCACATCGCTAGAGTCTGCCAAGCAGGGCGATCTTTACCTCAAAGGCCTCCACCACCTCTTAACTCCCAAAGGCAAGTGGAGGACTGCTATACCTGCTACCACGCTAACCATACTTCCCAAACCCCTGATAAAATTAAAATTTCTGTTTTCCTAGAAGGTAAACCCTGCAGGATGGAGGTGGACACGGGATCCGCGCTCTCAATCATCTCCTGGGATACCCTGAAGAGGATCCAGCCCAGACTGTCAAGGAAACAGCTACAAAGATGCCACTTGACGCTGCGGGACTACCAGGGCAAGAACATTCCTGTCCTCGGGAAAGGCAAGTTCCTTGTTCAATTCCAAGCCTTTAAGGGCCATCTGCCTCTAGTGGTTGTTAATGGTACCCTCCCTAGTCTATTGGGACTTGATTGGTTTCCTTCTCTCGGCCTTAGTGTAACCGGGATCCATGCTGTCTCAACTTCTGATGTAGATACACTATTTTCTGATTTTTCCGATGTATTTAGCAATGAGCTGGGTTGCTATTCGGGCACCCCCATATCATTTTCAGTAGACCCCCAGGCAACCCCTCTTCATTTAAAACCACGGAGGGTACCTTTTGCCATCCGTCCCAAATTGGACGCAGAACTAGACAAACTACTTAAGCAAGGGGTGCTAGAACCCACTGATTTCGCTAAATGGGAGACCCCCATAGTCACCCCACTTAAGAAAGATGGCAGTTTGAGAATCTGTGCGGATTACAAAACCACGCTCAACTGCTATCTGCAGGTCAGCGCATACCCTGTCCCCGTTATTCAGCATCTGTTACACACTTTCGAACCTGGCACCATTTTCGCCAAGTTAGACATGTCACAGGCATACCAACAGTTCCCTGTCGATGAGCAGACAGCGGAATTACAAACCATCGTCACGCACAGGGGGGCATTCAAGTGTAGGCGCCTCCAATTCGGAGTCAGCGTGGCCCCAGGCATTTTCCAGTCACTCATGGAGAGGATTCTCCAGGGTCTCCCAGGAGTGGTCCCCTACTTCGATGACATCTTAGTCTCAGCCACGAACCGACCCCAGCTCATTCAGAGAGTCAGGACAGTGCTGGAGAGGTTTAGACAGCATGGCCTTAAACTTAAGAGGGAGAAGTGTGCCATCGCCACTAGGCAGGTGGACTTTCTGGGTTATAGAATAGACGCCTCTGGCATCCACCCCGTTGAGTCCAAGGTGAAGGCCATCCATGAGGCACCCATACCCACCAACAAGACTGAACTTCAAGCTTTCCTGGGACTCCTGAACTTTTACGCCTCATTCCTCCCGCACAAGGCATCGGTCGCTGAACCATTACATAGGCTACTAGATAAAGACTCGCCCTGGCACTGGGGACCCAAGGAAACCCATGCTTTCAAGTCAGTCAAATCCTTACTCACATCAGAAGCGGTTCTAGTTCAATTCGATCAACGTCTTCCCCTGGTCCTGGCTGCTGACGCATCCCCTTTTGGCATTGGGGCTGTCCTGAGCCACAGACTCCCCAATGGGTCCGAGGCACCAATTGCTTTCTTTTCTAGGACCCTTTCTCCAACCGAGAGGAACTACAGCCAAATCGATAAAGAGGCCTTGGCTGCAGTGGCTGCAGTTAAGAAGTTCCACGAATTCTTGTTTGGCCACCACTTTGAGTTAGTGACTGACCACAAACCTCTTTTAGGACTTCTGTCTGGAGATAAGCAAACCCCGCAGGTACTTTCACCCAGAATGACCAGATGGACCCTGTTTCTGGCTGCTTACTCATTCAAGTTAGTGCATCGTCCCGGTAAGAACTTGAGCCACGCTGATGCCCTCAGTCGCTGCCCCCTGCCAGTCCCAGTCGAAGACCCAGCGCCTATCCACGCCATTTTTGAGGTCAATGAACTCAAGCTCCCAGTGACAGCCGAGGACATCGCGGCGCACTCAAAGAAGGACAAAATCATCGCCCAGGTTCTGGACTGGGTGGGAAGGGGGTGGCCGGAAACTCAATGTACAACTGATTTTGTCCCCTTTAAAACCCGCCAGCAGGAACTGTCAAAGTTGCAAGGTTGTCTATTGTGGGGAACAAGAGTGGTCATCCCAGCCTCCCTTCGAGTGCCCATCCTGAAGGTGCTTCACGAGGGTCATCCGGGCATCATAAGAATGAAGGCCCTGGCCCACAGCTACGTCTGGTGGCCCGGCATGGACGCTCAAATCGCCAACTGGGTAAGTTCTTGCCAGCCTTGCCAACAAACCAGGGCTGCCCCTCCAGCTTCCTCGCCCACCAGATGGGAGAGTGCAAACGCCCCTTGGTCCCGCTTGCACGTCGACCTGGCTGGGCCTGTACATGGCAGGACCTTCTTGGTGGTGGTGGATTCATACTCCAAGTGGATTGATGTAGCCTTACTTCCCACAACCACCACCCAGGCGATAGTTAAGGCCCTAACCCGTCTATTTGTCACCCACGGGCTTCCTGACACGCTGGTTTCAGACAATGGCCCACAGTTCACATCGTGTGAATTCAGCATGTACACTGCTAACTTGGGCATCAGACACGTCCTTACAGCACCATTCCATCCCGCTAGCAACGGGATGGCAGAGAGAGCAGTTAGGTCAGCCAAGGAGGCACTCGCCAGGTTTGGCCAGGAGGATTGGCACTCTAAACTGTCTCGTTTCCTGCTCAGCCAGCACACAACGCCCTGCACCACCACCAACAAATCTCCTGCCGAACTTCTAATGGGGAGACGCCTTAGAACCACCCTGGACAGGCTACACCCCCACTACTGCCCAGACACCCCCTTAGGGTCCGACAGTCTGGTCAGAGACTTCACCCCACAAGACCTGGTATATGCCAGGAACTACGCGGGGGATCCGTTGTGGGTGCCAGGACAAGTCGTGTCAGTCACCGGTCCCAGGTCCTACAGGATCCTCCTAGAGGATGGACGTTTGTGGCGGAGACACGTAGATCAACTCAGAAGGTGGCGGAAGGGCGCTACAGATACCAACCCATGCCAACCTGCCAGTGCCAACGACACCTCACCAGTGCCTGACGCGGATCCCCTGCGGAACCTGGCCTTCCCTGACGAGCAAGAGGACTGGCGGGAGAACACGAGTTTCCGGCCAGAGTCACCACTCCAGCCACCGAGCGACCCAGTTTTGACCAGCCGGACCTCGAGACTCAGCCAGGCCAACCAGAGCAGGGGTTTTCATCAGCACCACAGGACACTACGCTGGGGCAAACCCACGCCCCGACGACCGCTGAGGCATGTTCCAAAGACCAGGACTTGACACCGGCCGACAGTTCACCCGAACTGCGACATTCTGGTCGCCAGCGAAGACAACCCTCGTATCTACAGGACTACGCATGTCCCCAGCTGGGGGAAAGGGGTGTTATGTCTGTGGAACTGGTTGGGGTCCCCAACCAGGTCCGCTGTTTGAGCAGGAGCACCAGCAGCTCCCATTGGTTGGCTCCGTTTGACAGTCGGCTATATAAGCCGGCTGTCGAGCAGAGCCAGCCGTTGTCGCCCGCTGGTCTGCAAGTTAGCAAGCAGACGCGACAACCCTTTATTCTTTGCAATAAAGCCTGTTAGTTGTACGCTCTGGTCTCATGCCTCTTCCTTACCATCGCTCTACAACAGTTTTTTAATCATCTTCTCTTCAATGCTTGTTAAGAGTTTATCTGATTCCATCTATTCCTTGTAAAACCCAGCCATCTTAGTGTTTTTTTTCATACCTTGAATGTATTTGCAAATATGAATACCAACCTATATTTATCCCTTGTTCCTCTAGTTCCTGCTTTGTTTTGAGTTCACCCTTTTCATTTAAAATTTCCTCATATCTAATAATGTGTTCCTTTTTAAAAACTTGTGGATATGCAAATGCCTCTATTGACAACCAGACTGGTGTTTTCATATAATGGTATTCCCTTATTTTCTCCCATACTGTTAATAAAGCATCTTTAAGTTGTTATCTATTATTTCAACCATCAATATTCTTCTTTTCATCTGTATAAGTTAGCTTGGCTTTAATTGTATTCTTAATATATAGAACAACTCCTCTCTTATTTTGTTGTGCTAATGATGTATATCAATTACCAATTCTGGGGCAGTTCAACAGATGTGCATGTTGTTTTTTTAATATGCACTTCTTGTAAAGAAATTATGTTCATCTTTATTTTTTCTAGTTTATGGAATATCTTTTTCCTTTTAATAGCCGAATTTAGTCCATTTATATTTATAGAAATTAGTTTCTTTTCCTCTTCCATTATTTATCCTTTTTATGTAGGATTTATTGCTCTTATTGTTTTTTGTTCTCTTGGCTCTTTGATTGCCATTCTGCCACCTACTGCTCCTTCTTCTTATCCTCTTTCTCCTTTTTCCTTATCAAGTTCTTTTGTCATCTCTGCTTGTATTTTAAGTTCCTCTTCTCTTGCTCTCTCACCTTGTGCTCCTCTAAAGTATTCATTGTAAAATAATTCTGCTCTCTCAACTAAGTCTATTCTATGTCTTTGCTCTTGCCAAATAAACATCAGACTTTCAGGAATCAACCATCTGTAATTCACTTCTTTCTTAATTAAAATCTTTGTCAGAAATTGGTATTCTCTTCTTAGATCTCTCACTTTCCTTGGCATTTGTTTCAGAGCTTTAATCTCCTTTCTCTTGTACTTCAATGGGTCATCTCTTGCTTTCTGTATTATTTCTTTTTTTTTAAATAAAGTTTTATTGGGTTTTCACACACAAAATACAAATAAAACATATTTTTTGAAAATAGCATGGTCCCGGGTTGAACTTCTTAATACAGACACAAAACTCAATTTCATGCTCCTTTTGGTATTCTATTCCATATCTTATACTATTTTACATTTTCTATATCGTTTTTCCCCTCTTTTAATTTTCTCAATTTTATTTTGATTATCTCATCTCAATTCAAATCATTATATTTATACTTTTGTCTGTTCTGTTTCAATTTCATATTATCTTTTCTCATGAAATAAATTTTCTCCTGTAGTTACTAATTGGAGTATGACACCTTTATATCTTTTAATTACATCCATTCAACTCTTACTTAAACTTCAATATATACCTTAAGTTTATGACCTTCAATATAATACATAATACATAACTTCCAATTGACTTCTCCTTGGCACGTTCTTATAATACACACTATATTCTTTTTTTAAAAAAAAGAAAGATTGTAAATATATGTAATTATAAACCCTCATTCCATTCCAGTTCAGTTCTATCATTAATACCATAACATCTTTAACACTTCTTTTCAATTAAATATCATACTTCCTTAAAAACACATATAATCTCCATAATTATTTTTTCCCTTATTTCTCTTCACATATGTTTTATAAATCATTAAATATACCTTTTGTTACATTTATTTATTGACAAGCATTCCACTGAATTACGATAGCTATTTTATCAGACATTTTAATCATACATTGTTTAATATTTTCTAAAATTATTTCTGTTTCTAATATAACAATGCTATCTTATGTACCTTTGCAGAATTCCTTTTTCCATTAAATTTTCTCCCATTATCTCTAAATAGACCCTGTTTCTCTATATTTTGCTTCTGTCCTTTATAACTTCTTTTCCTTTCCTTCTTCTCTCTCATCTTCTCCCTCCCCTTTTTACCCCCTTGTCTCTCTAGTTCAAATTCTCTCTTCTGCATTTCCCTCTTCTGTTGCTTTCTGATTTTATACTTATTTTTCACGCTATTTTTTTTGGGGGGGGGGGAGGATTTTTTCCCAATCTTAAACTTTCCATTCTCTTTCTTCCCTTTCCCTTTTTCCCCCATCTAAGATTATTTGTTCATTAAAGATGGCTTCTTCTTTGTCGCACTCTTCTTGTTCTGCAGGCATTTCTGGTTGTTTCTCATAATTCCAAATCTCCATTTCTAAAAACTGAAATACGAAGCCAAAAGAACCTCTCCCTTCTTGTGCATCTTCTTTGTACTTTTTAAGTTCCATTTTCAGTTCTTCTAAAAGTGGAGCCATTTTAAAAAGTTTTAAACAACCACCCAATTGATTTTAGTCATTCAAAACAATAACCAAGAATCCAGAAATCATCAAGTAATCCAGATAGTCCCGAGTTATATCTTCTTATTTCTTTTTCCACTTTCTCTTCCTGGGGTTTTTGTTGTGATATTTCAGTTAGAATGTATCTTTTGGAAGTCTTGTTGAGATTTTGCTGTAAGTTCTTTTTAATTCCAGGCAGTCTCCTCCCTTCCAGATCCTGCCCCTTTATTCTTCCTCTCTCCTTTCCTGTTTTCAAGCTTTTAATTATCCAGAAATCTTTATTATCCCTTTGACTTTTTATTTTCAGCATTAAATGCCTATTGATGTCAAAGTGGATTTTTTTCCAATTTTTTGCTTAAGTCTCTTAGCTGTCAGTATAGGAAAAGGAGAAAACCAAATCTTTTCCCTTTTCTCTCTCCTTTGCAGCTTAAAAATCTTCTTAGGGAACAATGTTATTGTTTTTTACAGTTTCAATTCCAGGATACTTTATTTGTTGCTTTTGCTGTTTGACCCGGTCAACCAAAACTTTCTCTTCTTATCTTCCTCCTGCAGATTCTTTTCCGGTCGAGTTCTTCTTTGTGGTGGCCATTTCTGACCACCGCTGCAACCACCTTCGGAAAAGGGAGCAATGGCCAGCTGGGGAGGAGAGATGCAGCTCTCCTCAACCCTGCTGGCAGTCTCCCCCCTCTTCACCACCTCTATGGGGTGGTTTAGCCCTGAAACCAGCTGGCTCAGGGCGCTTCAGCGGCAAGCACGGATCGAAGCCTTGCAGAGATGAGGTTTCAGTTTGTCGCTGAAGAAGCTCAAACCGGAAGTCTCTTTCTGTATTATTTCTGTCCTCATTGTTTTCTTAGTAAATCTCACATGTACTTCTCTAGGTAATTTGTTTTTCATTGCATATCTAGTATATACTCAATATATTTCATCCATTCCATCCATCATTTTTTCTTTAGAAATCTCCAAAGCTCCTGCCAAGATTTCTGTCATAATTTCTGCAAGGTTTTCTCCTTTTTCTTCCTCAATGTTTTGAAATCTTAGGTAGACATCAGCCTTGTCCATCTCCCAGAGTATTGTGTTTTTTCCTTTTTTGTGTTCAACCATTGTCAATCTGTTATCTATTTCTCCTACTTTCTTATCTGTTTTGTCACCTTTCTTCCATCTTCTGCATTCTTTCTCCATATGTCATTATCATTTGTTGTATATTTTTTTCCCATCTTTTCCATCCTTTCTTTCATCTTTCCAATTCTAACATCTGTATGCTTTCCTTGATCTTGTATTGCTTGGAACATTTATTTTATTTCTTGCATTGAACCCTCTTTTTCCTTTTCTTTCTCTTGATGAATCATAGTTGTGATGGATCATTGACCAGCTGAGTTCAATGAAGAGGAGGTGGGGATCGATGATCCAGTAACAGTTGTCTTTCTCATGTTTGGTTAATTATAATCCACTTCCAGGAATCCTTTCAGTAACAGTTGTCTTTCTCATGTCTGGTTAATTATAATCCACTCACAGCAATCCAAGAAAAATAAAAATAAGTGATAAAATCTTCAGTTGCACCATGACTGGGTTGATGACCTTTACTATGGGGAATGGTCCCATGAATTTTGTGCCCAATTTCTTGCTAGGGAGTCTTAACCTCAGGTATTTGGGGGAGAGGTAGACCTTCTCCCCCACCTGGAATGGCCGTTGCAGGGCTCAGTGTTTGTCTGCCTGTCTCTTATAGCTCTATGCCACTTTTGCAAGTGCTTTTTTGACATTCTCCCAAGTTGCTTTCAGCACTGACATCCAATTGGTCAGGTTGACTAAGGAGGGGGTAATCCCTTGGATACTCAGGCATTGGGACAAAGTCCATACCACTCACTACTCTGAAGGGGGTTAGTCCCATGCTACTGTGAACAACATTATTGAATGCAACCTCCATGAAAGGCAGGAAGTTTGCCCAATTAGACTGCTGATAATTCACATAGCACCTCAGGCTCTACCATGGTGTTCAGTCTCTCTGGCCCCCCATTGGTGCTCAGATGAAAGGCCAAGCTAAGGCCCTGGGATGACCCAATAGACCGCAGGAACTCCCTCCAGAACTT